TTTTTTTATATGAAATCGCTTTCTTGTCTCTTGGTTGTGGTTACAATTATTGATAAAATATATTTATATTTGAACCTCAATTTTTGAAAAAAAAAATTTCGGACGCGTATAGCAGCGTCAAAGTAGCATCTACTTTTTTTCTCACTCCTACTTTGAGCCTATCAGAGCCTATCAGAGCCTGCAATGCGCAGTCTGATCTGAGAATTGAACCCTACCTTAAAACTTTAGCAGGAAAAAAGAAAATTTCGGACATGTAGCAGCGTCAAAGTAGAATCTACTTTCTCTCTTACTCCTACATAAAAAAAAGAAAAATTGAGGTTCAATGTAGACGCTAAATTTCGACTCGGGGTATTGCTCAGAGAATATCCCGCTAATTTTATACGTTCCGACAAGATATCTTACGATCGTTTGGTAATTGAACTTGTCTACTGTATGTTCTAAACTCACGTCTATAAATGGTTTACACGGAATGATCATCACGAAAACAACGTCGCTCACCGACCAAGAAATTGTGCGCTGAAAACGCGATGCACACGCGATGCGCCGCCGCTCTGTTTCGCTCTGATTCCGGCCGCGTGAGAGATCTCGCGGCATGATTTCGCTTCGTCGTCGTCGTCGTCGTCGTCGCCTCGGTGTCGGGGCGAAAACCGCAACACGCCGCGCCCGATTTGTTATTCCGGCGACGACGCGCGGAACGAAAGTGAATCCGGGCATCGAGCTAAGGCCCATTCAGAAGAGAAACACAATTCGCCGCGCGAGAGAGAACAGTTATACTCTTTGAACTCGCGGTTTTAATATTAAAAATTCGCCGGCACTTTCATATTCCAAAAATCTTTTGTTGCGCGTTAATTAGTAAAATTATTTCCACACTTGTCCAGTTAACTTTCCATACACCGAAACAATTATATTCTCGTAAGTAGAAGATTTTATACTTAAAAAATCTTCTTAAAGATTTTATAGATGATATTCTTCTGAAATTAAAAATATATATTCTTTATTTAAGAATATATTCTTTATTTAAGAATATATTCTTTTTCGATAGTGAGATATGTTTTTTTTTAATAATTAAAAATAATATAAGTGTTAAAATTATTATTATACTGTATTAGTTTACATTTCATTATAAAAATAATAATTAAAAAGAATATAAATATAGATATAGACTATGATCATTAAAAATAAAAAATTAAACATAGGTAATATGTATGAGACACTTTAAAATGTAATAAAAATAAAATTATTTAAAAAATCTTACAAAATATCGTTATTAATGCAAAAGATATATAGATTACGTACTGATTATATATATATAAATCTAATTAGTATATATTCTATTAGTATATATTCTAATCAGTATATATTCGTATCAAAAAATATTTCTATTTAGAGGATTTTCCCCTTAAAATAAGAAACTCTTCTGTGCGCCTATTTTAGTATAAAATATACTTAAAGTAAGTAGGATATCCTCAAAACAAGAATACAATTTTTTCGGTGTATAGAAACATTATTCAATTATATCATCGATAGTTTGAGACGAATATTTATTTATTCTTAAAAGTACACATTTTTTGTATATCGTGATACAAAAAAGATCCTATAAAAAAGATAAGATGTCATCCGATATTTACGAAAAATAATAAACATAAAGCGCCTTGCGAAAATTATGTCGTGCCCTTCTTCCTCTTCTCGGAAGAGAATAATTTTTGCATAAAAAACACAACGCATTCTTTCTAAATTGCCTTTTAAACTGCACGCGGGCATTGGCTGCGTTGCGTCGTCGCACGTGCGTCTCCGGATGGCGTGCCGCACTTGTTAATGAAATGCAATCGTCGAATGCTCAGCGAATGTAGACGGAGAAAAGAGATCCCGAAACGCGCAGATCGCGCGCGCGCGCGCGCGAGAGAGAATCGCCTCGAGCTGGTTTCACTGCCAAGGTGCATAGAAGTAGATTTCAATGCTAGGTACGCGACGTTTTGTTGCGTCGAAGTGCTTTCTCTATTAAACGCGGAATTTTCTAACGACAGATTAGAACAGACTTTTCAACACGAAAAAGATATATATAAATGATATACGCGCGCGTGTTAACGTTACGCGTAAAAAAATATATAAAAATTAAAGAAAAAATAAAAATAAGAAAAAATTTGACAGGCCCAGAAAATTATGAAATATCCAGTAATGAGAAAAAATAAAAAATTTGAACATTTTTATTATTTGACAACTACGTCAATTCTGCGAACTTTTTAATACATATTTCCTTTCTTACAATGTAACGTCATTTTATATTTTCGATTATGGAATATATTATTGATAAGGACCTAAACCGAAGGTCGAAACGTTTATACCACGTCAAATTTCTCAAATAAAATCAGTTTTCACACTTTCGCACAACTACACCAGTGTTTTCGCTCCAACCGCCACTCTCAACGCAATTACAAATTAACTGGAGCCATTTACTTCTTTTGTAGTATTAAAAAATTTGAATCTTATTGGTTGTGTTCGATCACTCGAATATATTTTGATCATTGGTTAATTTTTTTGTCATTTTTTCACTTTCAACATCCGTTCATTCTTGCACTGTCACCTTGCTGTTAATTCGCACACGCCCTTGAAGAATTATCGTCAAGTTTTACTCTGTGCAAAATTTGCAACACCGCAAGGCGAACGAGTAAATTAGAATACATTTTGCGCGCGATTTAACTTGAAGTTCAGCTTCCGAAAAAACTTTTTCTTCGCCAATGATCGAGGTGAACAACCGGCGATTGCGACTTGAACGATCCGAGAACGTGCCCTCGCAATAGTGATTTTGAACGCAACCTTAATACTCACAGTCATTTAAGATTACAAAGGCCCTTGCCGAAGTTGTGGCCTTTAAGTAAGTCGTAAAAGCAACGATGACGGCTCGCTGCATATCAATTCCGTCTTTGGGTGTACGACCTACATCGGGGTTGCGGTTATTTCTTCTCCGTGAGCATTTATTCAATAGTCTTTATTTAACAGTTTCGTAGCAGTTACGCGAGAGCGAAAACAAAAGCGTACGAAACAATTGCTCAAGGCGATCCCGCGGTCTTACGTGAGAGAACATTGAAATTATATAATCTCGTAGAGAAGAAGGTACCGCGAAAGATCGGAAAAAAATTTATATCGCGGTAAAAATTGTCGATTTGTTTAAAATGACGTAAACAACCCGACAGATCTGCGGTCTTCGAAAAAGAACGCACACACATATAAATGAAAAAGAAAAAAACGATTTTTTCAGGAACTCCGCGCTCTCGAGCGAAGAATCGCGGCGCATCCTGCGGTGTTACATAATGGACTAATTTCCATCGCGAGTCTCTGTAATCGCACAAATTACGTAATTTTCGTCGAGGCGATCAATCGGCGATGCATCAAAATTCTGTCATTATACGCGCGGTCGGCGTGGATTCAGATCCAAAGCAAGGGGTTCGTGTGATTCGATGAAGTCTCGTTGTCGATTTGCATCGTCGCGTTTGTAAATGAGTATCGATCGAGTCTTCTTCTATTTTAAGATACCGGCGCGCTTCGCGCGATCGGATATCAGAGAAATTATAACGAGAGAGCGCCAATTATAAGATGCAAATGATCGCGCGCTCGTAACTTTCAAGTGATAACAAGGTGCTGTCGTGATCCAAATTTCGGAAGCTCGTTTTAGAAACGAACAAGTCGGATTCGTGTTTGCACAATTTATCATTTTTTAGTGAGTCTTAAAATAAAGTTATCGCGCACACGTGTATATACAACGATGACTCCTGCACCGAAAAAATTGTATTCTTGTTTTGAGGAGATATCCCAGTTACTTTAAGTATATTTTATACTAAAATAGGCGCCAAGAAGAGTTTCTTATTTTAAGAGAAAAATCCTCTAAATAGTAATATTGATAAGAATATATATTGATTAGAATATATACTAATAGAATATATACTAATTAGATTTATATATATATATAATCAGTACGTAATCTATATATATTTTGCATTAATAACGATATTTTGTAAGATTTTTTAAATAATTTTATTTTTATTACATTTTAACGTTTCTCATACATATTACCTATGTTTAATCTTTTATTTTTAATGATCATAATCTATATCTATATTTATATTCTTTTTAATTATTATTTTTATAATAAAATGTAAACAAATACAGTATAATAATAATTTTAACACTTATATTATTTAACACTTATATTATTTTTAATTATTAAAAAAAACATATCTCACTATCGAAAAAGACTATATTCTTAAATAAAGAATATATTCTTAATTTCAGAAGAATATCATCTAAAATCTTTAAGAAGATTTTTTAAGTTTAAAATCTTCTACTTACGAGAATATAATTTTTTCGGTGTGTGTTCTCAAACGCTTTTGGGAAATCGGCACGATTAGCGCAAATAGCGAGGTTCGAGCAATTACTAGAGACATTTTGTCTTAAGAAGATAAAGTTGCTGTTTTAATTTATATTCTTATTGTCTTTAAAATCAATTTAAAATGACACTTGTACACCGAAAAAATTATATTCTCGTAAGTAGAAGATTTTATACTTAAAAAATCTTCTTAAAGATTTTAGATGATATTCTTCTGAAATTAAGAATATATTCTTTATTTAAGAATATAGTCTTTTTTCGATAGTGAGATATGTTTTTCTATAGAGAGATTTTTATATTCTAATCAGTATATATTCTTATCAATGTTACTATTTAGAGGATTTTCCTCTTAAAATAAGAAACTCTTCTTGGCGCCTATTTTAGTATAAAATATACTTAAAGTAAGTGGGATATCTCCTCAAAACAAGAATACAATTGTTTCGGTGTATAAATATTCGAAAAGACGTTATAAATTGTTTGACATTTGTAGCCTTTCTAAACATAAATATGTTCCACTCTCTTTTTCTACATGTAATTTGCTCTAATTTTGAGATTAATTTCCAGTCGACTATACTTCTTGACAGAGTAAATTAAAAAAAACTGACATATTGTTACTCACCGTGGCAAATGGCGCCGAGGGTCAGAAAAACGATCCAGGTAATCATCTTGGAGAATACAGGAAACGTCATCCGCGACAACGACGGAGCATTTATCGCGTGCGATAAAGCTACGCGACGATGATGACGATGACGACGACGACGACGACGACGACGACGACAAACGAGAAGGAAGCGGCGATTGTCGCAGCGTGCGACACCGGACGTCGTGCACGTGTACTGCCGCCGAGGCGTTCGCTCGCGTGCGATTTGTACCTGCAACGGCGCGATGACGCATGTAAGGGCGTCCCCTCTCTTTGCGTTCCTCACGCGAGAGATACGCGCGTGAGGTTTTCTCTCTTTTTCTGTGCTTCTTGTCCGTGTTCGCTTTCCGCACTCACTGACTTTGATTTTTATCTGGTAACTTATCCAACGTCAGGTGCTTTTATTTATGCTATAGGTACCCGGCCTCTTCCCGGGTCGGTCTCTGAACGACGCTCCCGTTCTTGAAGATAGCGAGAGAAGGCTCGTTGTTCTCCGGACTAAATCAGACGGAAAAATGTTGAGTTACATTTCAATTATATATATCTTGAAAAAAAAATATATTTTATAATATATTTTTTTTATAACAATTAAATCTTATTGAAGCTCGATAAGTTACTAAGCATCCTGCGATCGGCTCGTATGATCGTAAATATATTTCGTAGTTTATATTTTATAATATATTTAATTTTTATATATTTTAACTTATTATTTTATGTACATAAAATATTGAACGTAAATATAAAACTGACTCTTGTGAGTTGATTTTTTTTCTATATCTTATAGATTTATCATCTCTGGACACAGGCTGTAACTACATATGTGTAAACGAAATTGCATTTCATCGAAGATAAAAGCGAGAATATCGCTTTCGTTTCGCTTTCCTCATATTCTCTCTCGCGTGTTTTTCTCAAACTCGTATATTCAAAGTTCGTTCGGTCCATCTCTTGCACGACGATGTCTGTGTGTACTACTTTTTTGTGTGTAGTATAAATGAATTAATCGACGATAGCGCGCACTTGAAAATATATAGTTTGAAATAGACTTTGTGCTCGCGTGATGGCTGCGGTGATTTATGAAGCGCAATCGATTAAAAGAGGGTCGATACCGCACAATGAATGTCTTTATCCTTTATGTGTATGCGGAGCATAAGAGTAATTGCCCTTAAATCTTCTTACTCTTTCTTCCGCGAGTGTGAGACTTTATCTCGTCGCGGAAATGAAGAAAAACTAATTTTTTATAACACGCGCGCACGCCACAATATATTGTGTACGTTGCGATAATTTTATTTGTCTATTTTTTTTTTCATAATATTTTATCCGCAATTTTATTTCAGAAGATATTCCAATATAGCGCATATACCCGGTAAAAAATTTTTCATATATACTTATATATACAAATTAGAATTATTATATCTAATTATTCAACAATTAATAAAGAAATTTAAGGCTCTGAAGTAATAACTAAGAAATGAATAAGGTCATAAGAGCCGCTTTGCAGGATGTTATGCTGAAATGTTCTATTATATATATATATACATATATATATATGGTCACATGTAAATTTTTACACGTGTTTTCGGGGTCTTTCATACATGAGATGCAAGTATAGCATACTGTATGATTTTAAGAATTGAAATTTCAATTCAAAATACACATGTAAAAATTTACATGTGACCATATATATATGTATATATATATATATAATAGAACATTTCAGCATAACATTCTGCAAAGCGGCTGTTATGACCTTATTCATTTCCTAATTATCCAAATATGCCGAATATGTCCATACAATTTTATACACGAAGAATTTCTTTTTTTAAAAGAACGGCTTCAGAGATATTCCATATCAAATTACAAAATAACTCTATCAGTATCATGTTCGATACAAAAAATTATATAAAACTATATTTTTACTATATTTTTAAAAAGGTTTTAATATATAATCATATATACTTATACACAAATTAAAATTATTATATCTAATTATGCAAATTTATATTATATAATATAAATATATATAATATGTCCATACAATTTTATACATGGAAAATTTTTTACCGGGTAGGTAAAAACGCGCGTAGAATAAAACCTTTTAAAATTTCAACGTTCTTTTTAAAAACTTATGAATTTTATAATCGATGTTGATGTCGTTTTTAATTGGGTTCTTAACAGAATAAAAAATCTCTAGGGTTTGATCCTTGGGCAAGTTTGAACCGATATGCAAGATGTTGTGCGAGTAATTAGAAATCGATATCTTTTTTCCAAACGTTTCGGTTTATTTTAAAACCTTCTTCAGTGGACTGAAATTTACATTTGTTTACATTGGACGTAATCTGAATAATTAACTTCTCTGTAAAATTATTTTAATTGTAAAATTATTCAGATTACGTCCAATGTAAACAAATGTAAATTTCAGTCCACTGAAGAAGGTTTTAAAATAAACCGAAACGTTTGGAAAAAAAGATATCGATTTCTAATTACTCGCACAACACCTCGCATATCGGTTCAAACTTGCCCAAGGATCGAAACCTAGAGATTTTTTATGAATTTTACTTGCTAAATAGATTGAAATTTTTACACGTATTTCTTTTTTTCAATTAAATTATTAAACGCAATGTAAAAAATACAATATAATCAGAAGAATCGCGAATTGCGTTAGTTCGCAATTTGTTGTTTTAATGGAACTATGGTTTTGACAACCTCATCGTCTGGTCATTAGCGTGCTTAATTAACTAAGGTTTCTTAATCTGTAATTTTTCAGTTTTTGCTGACGGAAAACCCGCCGATAGTCCAACGCGATAGTCGATAACTCTCGAAACGAATCGCCTCGAGGAATCGCGAAGTAATTGCGTTCCTAATACGGGCGAATTTACTCGAGCGTAAAGTAACACGGCTAATTATCGGGTTGCGCTTCTAATTAGCATATAATGGGGCACCGGGTATGCGATCGTAAATAAGGCAATTGTCTAAAATATAACGCCGATTTTAAGAAAATCTGCGTTTTAAAGTGCGCATTTCCTTGAACTTTTCGTGCCTAACAGAAAATGCCAATTAGCCGGAACCGATTTATCGAATTACATTTTGCGAGCGAGGGAGGAATATCGCACAAGAATATTGCGGAATTCCTCAAAACCGGACGCTATTTCGATCGCTAATTTATGCGCGCTTCATTACTCTTAACTCTTTCAAATTACCTTAAAAAACCCTCGTCGCAAAAATCGACATCGCATCTTAAAAATATCTCGCTGAGTATTTAAGATAATAACGCTATTTGTATATATTATCAGAAAGAAAATGGTATTTATGCGTGTGTGCGCGTGTGTGTGTGCATTTTTGCGTCGCATATTGTATACAATATATATATATATATATATATATATATATATATATGTTTAATATATATATATGTTTAAAGTAAATTGTTTTCAACAGATATCGCGCGCACATAAATTAAATTTCTATATATAGTTATATACAGATAGCGCTATACGTGCGTACTTTGTCGTGAACAACGTGAAATTGATACACCGAAAAAATTGTATTCTTGTTTTGAGGATATCCCACTTACTTTAAGTATATTTTATAAAAGGCGCCCTAAAATAGGCGCCAAGAAGAGTTTCTTAAGAGGAAAATCCTCTAAATAGTAATATTGATAAGAATATATACTGATTAGAATATAAAAAGCCTCTATAGAAAAACATATATATCTCATTATCGAAACAGACTATATTCCTAAATTAAGAATATTTTCTTAAATAAAGAATATATTCTTATATATATAATTTCAGAAGAATATCATCTAAAATCTTTAAGAAGATTTTTTAAGTATAAAATCTACTTACGAGAATATAATTTTTTTGGTGTATATATATATATACACGTACACCGAAAAAATTGTATTCTTGTTTTAAGGATATTCCACTTACTTTAAGTATATTTTATACTATTTTTTACTTAAGTATATATTTTATACTAAAATGAGCGCCAAGAAGAGTTTCTTATTTTAAGAGGAAAATCCTCTAAATAGTAATATTGATAAGAATATATACTGATTAGAATATAAAAAGCCTCTATAGAAAAACATATATATCTCACTATCGAAAAAGACTATATTCTTAAATTAAGTATATATTCTTAAATAAATAATATATTCTTAATTTCAGAAGAATATCATCTAAAATCTTTAAGATCTTTTAAGTATAAAATCTTCTACTTACGAGAATATAATTTTTTCGGTGTACGCGAATTTCATACTGATTTTCTTTCATTAGAACGCGAAGGTAAGTTCCGACAAATATACTTTTTTTTTTTTCTCTCTGACTCACTCTATTGCATTCGCTCACAATCACACCTGACAGATCCGCACTCTCGCATACACACATCCCGGTCGCTCGCGCATCTCTATTAACGTAATAATACTGTCACCATTATCACGCGCGCGTACGAACGTCGTATATTAAACGAACCGTCCGTTCGTGCGCGCTTTCCTCTCGTTCTGCTTAACGCGAAATGTCTGATATACGCAACGCACGCGCGTAATTTCCGCACGTTAGCCACAATATTTACGGCGCATTACTCATTATCACGCAACGCCAATTAATTCATTAATGCGCGCGGTTACCATAATGTCTCGATTCGTCAAAACGTCGACTGCAAAAAAAAAACTTTTCTTTTCATCGAATTCATCTTCCGGACACTCGAGAATATTAATATTAATATATATATGTATATATATATATATATATATTTATTTATATTTATTAATATTAATATTAATATTAATTTGGAGAAAGTGAAAATGTGTGACACTTTTAGATTTAAAGTAGAAGTAAATTTTATCCTTGCAATTGAACCTACTTTACTATCGCAACTTCTATTATACAGTAGATTCGTATCGATTAAACAATTGCAAAAGAGCAAACAAGTCAAAACAATTATGAGCTAATAAAAAGTTTTAGATTAAATAATTCATTCTAATGGATTTTGCAATTTGCAATGTGTGTCATTTTAAACATTGTTGTCTCGCGTAAAATATTCGTACAATATTACTTTTATGTAAAAACATTTCTTACGGGATAATTTTCATTTTTCGAATAAACAGATGATTCTCACATCTCGCACTTCGAGATCATAAACTTAATTATCGCAACGCGATTTATGACTCGGAAAGAACTATGGAAAAATATTGATGTTGCGAACAATATTGCCCTATAAAAATCCTATAAAAAATTTCTACATTTTCTCGACCGCCTATATCTTGATTTTTTGTTTGAAAATGTTAATAATTAAGAGAGAAATAATACACATTTATCGTTTTTACTCACTTTTGTTTCTCTTATTCCAAGAAGCACCGCTCTTCTTTATTTTGATCTTCGAAAAGAAGATTCTTCCTGGCTTCGGAGAAAATCGAAGTATTGGTTTTTAATCGAGCGATTACGCGCGCAAATACTCAAACACTCATAGTCGAGTATATTCGTAAGAACTAACGATCCAACTGACTGAAGTGTGTGTTGCGGCACGAAGCTAATATCCAATCTCTCGTACTTACGTACGCTATTACTCTCGACTACTTGGAGTATTTTATATATATATATATAAATGTAAATATTTAATAATGTTCACGGCAATGAAAAAATTTTCTACTTTCTAAATAAATAAAAACACCGCGGACGCGCGAGACGTCGATGATGCTGCTCGTCGAATCCCGCCGCGAAAACTTCGATTACTCGAAAATTCCAAATAACTCACTGAAAGTACTTTCAGATCGTGCACACCGACCACAGGTAAAACGTTGCGAGAATTTTTCGAATATCTCGCACACTCGCCGCTTCTTCTCTCTCTCCGACCTTTTTTTCGACTTCACTTGAAAAAAATTCGATATATCGGATTTCGCACTAAGTGTACGTGTGTGCTTGAGAGTACGCTAGATTTGTGTTTCTCGCGCGAATGATATATCCGTCGTCTTGCGGATGACTGTCGCGTGCTTACGGATTGGCGAGTCGAGTGCAACTGTAGGCGGACGAGACGGCACGGCACGACGATGGTCGGCCGCGCTCTAACACAAGTCGGACCGAGTGGGGATCCCCGATGGTTACCGGGGGTTACGGGTGCGTGTGCCGTGGGTGCCCGGAGGGCATACCTCTTGTATATACCGACGGCGCCGACGGCGGCGGGGCCCTATAACCGAGGCTCCCGTCACCCACCCGTGACTCCACCTTCCACTTGACCGCCGGGAAGATACCCACCTCGCGAAAAACAAAACCGCAATAAAGGTGTATCTTGTCCGGCAAAGAATTCCTGAGATATATCTTTTTTCTTTTTTATCTATTAAGTGGCCTTTACGAGAGAGACGCAAGACGTCCATCCCGAGCGAAATCAGTTTTCATCATCATCGTTTCTTTTCGGTTTGACAAAAGAAACACAGAGCATTTGGTGACCGATTCGAAAGACACCAGAATAAAAGAGCAAGCTCGCGAACTGAAAAAAAAATAAATCAATGCCTTTAGCTTTATATTAAATAAAATATAGTAGATATATAAAAAAATATAGTATATATAAAAAATATAGTATATATAAAGTATATGTATAGTATATATATAAAATATAGTATATATTAAATAAAAAATAGAAAATAAAAAATCATATTGACTCTTATATCGAATATAAATTTTTTTTTTCTTGCTCTTTAGAATATCTCAAATTAAATTTTTATCTTTACACACGAAGACGATGATATTTCACCCAAATCGCGCTGATAAGTTTTTTCAGTCGAGATTAACCGAACTGTTGCGCGGCCGCGAAAAACCATTTTTTTTTTTTTTCACGACTTGAGAGAGGAAGCGGTGCTTTTAGTCTGTTTTAATAGTTTAAAGCACGCACGCGGAAACGTTGCAACGCCGCGCGTCATAGATCGGATCTTTTGCCTTCAACTATGCAAAGAAGGCTGTGAAAAAAAAAAAAAAACAAATTATTGCGCACAACAGGATGCGTATCCAAGCGGCGTATATCTCTCGATCGAAATGAACGGCGTTGCCTTCTGTCACGATAATAATGTCCATCCCCCCACAAGGATGCGCGCTCACCGCGATAACGAAGCGCGTTTGCTATCGCGGAGGATTAATGCAACTAACGGGACTTTTATTGCTTACGCCGTGCGCGCGAATGGTTATTAAATAAATGTGTTTCGCGAAGAAGAAGACGCGCGTTTGTGAATCATTTATGCGGCGATCTTTATCGATCGTGTAATGGCAATCAAAAAAATTATTATTCACGAAGGAAAATATTTCTCGATGACACACACACGCGCGCGAGCGGTGATTTTTCTCCGTGAGCGAATGCCGGAAATAAAGAATATTGCGCGCATGAGTCGACTCGTGACTTGTGGAAAATTCAATAACGTCCGGGACATATTACATAAATCTTATTGTATTATTTTGTTGTGTCGTTTTTTTTTTTTTTGTGAAATCAAGATACAATTGGTAAATACAAAAGAACGTTTGGACCGATAAAAAATGGATCTCTGGATCGAATCGCGAGCGTGACCGTATTTGGGTGGCGCGAATACAAAAAAACGCTCGCTCGGACAAAGCGCAAAGACTAACTAACGCGCGCGTTATCTCATCCACGCGGAGATATCCCGAGTAGAGGGCTGTTGAGATTTTTAGAAGTAGAATCGAACTAATTGGACCGTTGCCAGATTCGCGCGGAGATTCTTCGGCAAGTTCAAGGTGCTTGCGCGCGGGAAGGACGCGCGCGGTGCGGAATATGTGACTTTCAAGGTCATCGAGTGTACAAATACCGTGATTATGGTCGCGCAAGTGCGGCAGAGCTTTCTTCATTGTCGGGTCGAGTTCGGTCGGGATCTGACACGTATAAGTGCGCGCCGCGCGCGAAGAGTATCGCCGGAAGAAAACTCCCGATCTTCGGTGCTATAGGTATATAATCGCGCGGCTTAATAGCGCCACGGACCATCGGGCAATTTGCGCCCGAGGAGAGAGTCCGATACGCTCTCGTCCCTCTCTTTGAGGAGCACACCGCTCGGAAGACAGAGAGAGAGCATTCCACATTGAGAGATTCCTTCGTACTCGGATCGCTCGAATTACTCAATGGAAATAACGGAGAGTTGGTCGTCATCGCGAGTCACGCGACGTCCGAATATTTTATATATCACGCTTGCCAGGTAAAACATACCTTTGCGAAATATAAAAGAAACGGATCCTCTTCGAGGAGAGATCCTCTCGCTGAGGTTCAAAAACCATCGACAAAGTTTCTCGCGACGTGTCACCGACGCAACGCACAGTGGAATAAAGAGACGTCATTTTTTCTCGAAGGATATACAACTTTTCAAGTAAACTGTTTTGTGAAAAAACTTGGCACGCGGTAACTGCAATCTATATAATTTAAATTTATAAAGTAAAACATTTAATTTACATGGCGTGTGTTGTTTTTCAAATCCTTCCCTTTCTCTATTTTTCGAGTTTTTGATTTTCTCACGCGTTATTTCTGACAACTCTCTCATATATATGTATTCTCTCTATATGGTTTGCAAGACGGTGTCTGGCTTTGTTCTCTGTTTCTCCGTGTGAGTAATGTGCCATTTCAATCCGGTTTTTAAAGACACACGTGACCAAAGTAAAATCACGTGACCTTCAGTCAGCGCGTTGTTTTCCCACTTCTCTTTGTCACGTGACAAAGTCACGTGTTCATTGGTCACGTTTTTAAAACAGATAAATGACACGTGACTAAAGTAAAGTGTCATTTATCTTGCGCGTCGAAATTTTTGTGCGTGAGAAACCTGAAGGTAAACATTTGTCATCGATTCTTAAAAGATCAAATTAAAGAAATATATACGTAGTTAATTATTTGCTCTAAAACATATAGTCATTGGATATATAAATAGCGCTCGAAAAAACTGGAACAATCCGTGCGGCTCGAAGGCTGCCGCGGGAGTTATAATTACAAGCCGCGCGGTGGAAAAAAAAAATAAGCACGCTTGTTAATCGCACGGCAGATATGAGAAACGGCATGTAAAAATTTCTAACTGCATCTCAAATCGTGTATTTGAACAAGGGCGTAATCGCGAATATTACTACACCGAAAAAATTATATTCTCGTAAGTAGAAGATTTTATACTTAAAAAATCTTCTTAAAGATTTTAGATGATATTCTTCTGAAATTAAGAATATATTCTTTATTTAAGAATATAGTCTTTTTTGATAGTGAGATATATATGTTTTTCTATATAGAGGCTTGTTATATTCTAATCAGTATATATTCTTATCAATATTACTATTTAGAGGATTTTCCTCTTAAAATAAGAAACTCTTCTTGGCGCCTATTTTAGTATAAAATATACTTAAAGTAAGTGGGATATCCTCAAAATAAGAATACAATTTTTTCGGTGAATATACTCGAAAGGTACACTAATTAATTATATTTACAAAATATGGCGCCGATTCAAACGCGAACAAAATGTCAAAATAAAAAATTGCAAAATTATATAAATGTTTTAATGAAAGATGAAAAAGAAAAGAATACATTTCGAATTTTATTACACAGAAAAAATTATATTCTCGTAAGTAGATTTTATACTTAAAAAATCTTCTTAAAGATTTTAGATGATATTCTTCTGAAGTTAAGAATATATTCTTTATTTAAGAATATATTTTTTATTTAAGAATATAGTCTTTTTCGATAGTGAGATATATATGTTTTTCTATAGAGGCTTTTTATATTCTAATCAGTATAATATTCTTATCAATATTACTATTTAGAGGATTTTTCTCTTAAAATAAGAAACTTTTCTTTGCGCCTATTTTAGTATAAAATATACTTAAAGTAAGTGGGATATTTCCTCAAAACAAGAATACAATTTTTTCGGTGTACGCGACTACTGTTTTGAGAACGCGAGATTCTGCAGAACGGAAGACAATAGCGAGCATTATTGTACATCGCCGTAAGCATCGTCGTGTACAATGACCGTGATAAGATAGCCCGTCTGGTATCGATCGTTCGCGAACTGGTAATTATGCGGGTCAAATCCTCGGTACCATCGCGTACCACGACGACACCACCCTTTGTCTACCCGATATATACGCGACTCGTTATTTCGTAAATACGACGCAATATCGGTTCAAATTCATATTTTGCGCGAATAATTTGTTTCAAGTAACAACCACAAGCTTCTAAGTCATTGGTAAATTGCTCTTCGGCCAAACAAGTTTTCTCTCTTAAGTAGAATCAGTTAAAATTTCACTGATTGATTCAATAATAGATAGTTTCACTGAAATTCAGTGATAATGTTACTGAAGTTTAGTGAAAGTATGTCTCTTTTATGATAAATCAGTAAAAATTTTACTAATTGAGTCAGTAACAGATTAATTGTCACTGAGAATCAGTTAAAATTTGACTGATTGATTCAGTAACAGATAGTTGTACTGAAAATCAGTAATGTTTGGCAACTTTTTAATTTTTCTTTTGAATGCAAATCACTTCACTGGCTTTCGCACCTTATATTGTCATATTGTCAGCTCTGAGCATTTTTATGCTGCGAAATAAATGGAGAACATAAAAAATTTAACCGTGCAAGAATTAAAATATATAATCTATGACATTACTGGGGATGCAGACACAGCAAAATTATTTGAAGGTATGTATATATATATCAAATTATTTGAACAATTTGATATTACGTATGTATCATAATGTATCAGTGTAAGATAAAACCAATAAAGTCCGTGTCGTTTTGCATAAGAAAAATTGCAGAAATGTTCATAAAAACGTTATATTCATTAAAATAAAAGCATGATTTACTTATTTACTTTATTGGTTTTACACTGATACATTATGATACATACATAATATCAAATCGTTCATTTTATCACTGATTACAGTCTTACTGTTTTATTTAGTGAATGTGACGATATTCTACTGATTTACTACTAATTGGTACATTTATATGTACTGATTGACTTAGCGAATAATTACTGATTTGCGCAGTAAAAGAGTTCCAACAGAATGAATC